TATGAGTAGAGTCAAGGAGATCCAGCATTCATCATCCTAGGCAGGAAACAATGTAACACAGGTTACATCTACGCCAGCCTAATAGATGAAGAAGGGGTTCGAGGCTGGTTAGCAGAATTTTTCTGCTTACCCCTAAAGTCTTTGCCTAGGAGGCCTTCTACAAGACAGTAGCAGGATGCAGTTAACATCTGCCCAAGATGAGTATTTTTATCGAGACACCTTCTCTAGCCTTTACTCAACCAAGAGCCCCAAGGCAGGGGATGTTTAGCTGGATGCAGTTAACATCTGCCCAAGATGAGTGTTTTTATCGACACACCATCTCTAGCCTTTACTCAACCAAGAGCCCCAAGGCAGGGGAATTTTTAGTCGGAGTTTATTTCTCCTAGCCTTTGCATAAGAAGAGCACACTCTGCAAGGCAGCAGGGCTTGTGGCAGGTGGTACTGGGTTACGTGATACCAGTAGCAAGATTGATCTCGATTATCCTGACCTGACCTGGAGTAGTTAAAAGGAGTTACTTCCTGCAACAGTACTTTGAGAAAACCAGGCATGACATTTTGGAAGTGCATTGGGAAAAACACTGCATCTAACAAAATACAGGAGTCTAAGGTGAGTGTACGTTTTGTAGTTGGAGTAAGTAGTTAGTTACTAAGCTCACGCTGCATTAGAGTATAAACAGAACACAAACAAACATAAATCAACTTACGGGTGAGTCAACACCGCGCTAGAGGTTCAGACAGAACACAAACATACATAAAAAACATAAAGTAACTTACGGGTGAGTGAACACCGCGCCAGAGGTTCAGACAGAACACAAACATACATAAAAAAACATAAAAAACATAAACATAAACATAAAGTAACTTGCGGGTGAGGGAACACCGCGCCAGAGGTTCAGACAGAACACAAACATACATAAAAAAACATCAAAACATAAACATAAACATAAAGTAACTTACGGGTGAGCGAACACCGCGCCAGAGGTTCAGACAGAACACAGACATACATAAAGAACTTATACTTTGTTTAAAATATTTGACATTTATTTTAAAAGATTATTGTAACGGGCATCTCAAATGTTTAAATAGGCATATGGCCCCTCAATTTTACTTTTTGCCTATTTACGACCCTTGACTTTTTTTTTTTTAAATGGTTTTTTCTATATTTATTAAACAAATACTTTTAAATAATTTTTTTTTTTTTTTTGTAACTTGCAACTAGCATATCTAAATGGGCTTACGCCCCCCTTTTATTTACCCTTTTACCCCATTTATGACCCTTAGCAACTTGTTTGGATTTTAAAAATAATTTTTTTTATTGTTATAATACAAATATTCTTGAATAAAAAACCTGGTGGTCTTTCTGGTACACAGTGTATAGGCTCATTTAAAACTATGTACGTTTAAATTTTTTATATGAAAAAATTTAAACGTACATCGACCATTAAGATAATGGTCATAGACATTTGATCAAATAGAAATACGTTAATTCTAGATTTCTAAATACAAATTTAAACACAAATATATGCAATGGGGTTTTTCTAAACAAAAAATACAAATACTTGTACTTTAGGTTAAGAAAAGGTATACAGGTTATTTCAAGACAGGTCTGATAAAATGGTATACTAAATAGAAGAATGAAGTCGTCTAACAAATATCTCTAAAAAACAATTTTTTTATTTATTTTAGTTGTAAAATTGAAAAAAATGTACCTTAAGATTTTCCCTAAAAAAAAAACACAGGTTAATTAGTTTATGGAATTGTAAATATCTTTCAAACATATACAAATATTTATGAAATTTTTTTATCAAATACAATACAAATTCAAATACGCCAAATTAGCCTATTTTCACCAAATACAAATGCAAATACATATTTGTCCCCAGCCCTGCTGAAAATATTTACTTACAAGAGTTTTTATTAAAAAAATATTTTGTAAACACTTATTGCTATAATAATAACTTTAATAAGATTTTTTTTTATTCTGTAAAATGTTTTACTATCGAATGTTCAGACTGATTTGTAATAAACTTATAATTAAATATAAATTGTAATTGATTATAATTAATTATAAATTAAAATAGTTATATATTATAGAAGTATGTCATGCAAGTATGTGTTATCAACACAACTCTCAAACCTGACATAGATCATCTGACACTTGAATAACTAAATAAAAAGACTTAAGATGTAATATTAACATTATGGCTTAAATTCTTTATGGTCCACAAAAAAAGCTGGACTTTTTTTGTGGACCATAATGTAACCAACGCTATTTCAACCCTAACCTGAACCCTGATGCATGTACATTTCTTGCATGTTCTCATAAGCAGCACTTGAGAATCAGGTCTGCATTCACCAATGCCAACCTAATTGCTAACCTATAAATGTCTAGGGTAGGCAAACTTGCCTGAAAATTATTTGTCAAAACGTATTGATTTAATGATAGATTTGGTTTCATATAATATTCAGTAAAACCTTTAACTTACATGCCTCTGTTAAGACTAAAGTCTTTTGAGATAAAGATGAGCTTTTTGAGCCAAAAACTTGATAAAAACAAATGTTTTCCTTAAAGATTTTAATAATTTACCATCAAATATTTTCAATAAAGTTTTATAAGCACTTTAGTTCCAAAAAAAAACTAATATTTGAAAATCATTATTCCTTTAATAATTTAGCAATTGTTGAAATGAAAAGGTATTGAGATATAATTGCTGTTTTTTTTTAATTAATTTTTTATGTTTAAAAAATATAAAATTTGCGAACAAGAGTTTTTTTTTTTTTTTTATCAAGATTTTAATGTTTTAATTAAAAAAAAATTTTTTTTATTTTTTAAAAATTTTTTAAAGGCTATTTGTATTTTAAAAAATTATGTAAATTATTTTTATTTTAAGCTGAGACCTTGAGTCTTAGGGAATAATTAACACTTTTCAAAAGTCCTTATCACTCACCATAATAGCATGCTAATAATGGAAATATTAGGGCAAAAAGTAATTTTGTCAACTTGTAGAACAAAATACTGCTGCAGATTTAGTAATAAATCCAGGTCTGCAAAATTTAGTTTTCAACCAGTTACAGTCAGCACAAACCAATGTCAAGGGAGAAAAAGAGGGAAATATAATTTGTAAAATACGTAATAAAATAAATGCTACTAACTATAAATTTACAGTCTTACCATTTATTATGAATCCTGTTCTTAAACCAATAATCTCAACCGAGTTATCCCGCAATGTCTTCAAAAAAGCAGATATATGTTTAGGAGACATAGATAAAATGTTTTGAATTGTTAAGCATGTTAACTCTTGCTCTGGAATTTGCGAATCATATTGAAAAAAAGAGAAACTTGGAGAACCAGTTGATGTTGATGGATCCTGTTTTTTGCAAGCAGCATTTATCCGTGTTTCCATAAATAAGGTATATATAGTCTAAAATCACCAGATATGTCTAGAATTACTAAATTTGTTAGTGTGATGTAAGTTTGTTTATACGGTAATAAACAAAGTCTCAAAAAAATATGTTTTAAACTGATTTATTGCTTCATCAGCTATGCAAACGTATCATTGGCAAGTACCCAACCATCAAAAAATAATTTAAAAAAATTTAAAGTTAAAAAAGCAGAAATAAATACTCTAAAGACTATCGTCAACATGCTTAAAATATTATGAAAGAAATGAAAATGATAATTGAATTTGATGCAATGTATATCGAGGCCTTAAAATATGGAATACATATCAAAAAGTATAGCTAGGTCGTTAAGTTCATTTAAATTTCTAATTAATAAAGAAAATTTTAAAACTTAAGAAACGTTTGTAAGTGAGTAACCTTTTTAAAGTCATTTCATAATTTTCAGGCATCTTTTTTTTTTAATTTAGTTTGTTTATCAGTACTTTATCAGTACATTTTTACTTATTATTGTTTTTAATAATTACTACATTTTGTTAAAACTTTATATAGAAGCTCTGTTTAAAGTTTATGATAGTTCATTATCATCTTCTTTAATCAACTGTTTGTTTAATTCTTCGTTTAATAAAGATCGTAGTAAAAAAAAGTTTTTATTTTATATATTATATACACTAACAGTGCTTAGTGAAAAGTTTGTACTGTCTTCTTTGTTCTAAAGATATTTATTTACTTTTTTCTTTATTCAATATTTATATATTCTATATATATGTCTTCATTTTTACTTGTTAAACAGAAAAATAAATGTAAAAAAAAAACAACAAAACTTATGATAAAATATTCTAAATTATAAATTATTGCTGTTTCAGAAAAAATTAAATAAATATTTATCCTACACATTGAAACATTTAAATTTGTAATGGAGGATTGAGTTTTCTTAGTTAATTTGTTTCTTAAATACCGGTCTGTCCCCATTTCTCTTTTTTTCTAACAAACAACTACTTCTTTTATTACTATCTGTTAAATTTATATTACTATATGCTAAATTTCTTTATTCTTTTTCTTTACATTACTTATGTTTTTCTCAAAGTTTACTTGTGTGTGGAGGCAAGTAATGGTGCCAAACTTGTCTTCTGCGGATATTGGTATTTGCCTTCGTATAAGAGTTAGCCAAAAGAAAATAAACCTAGTGGTTTATCTTCTTTACCGCGATTTAAGATATTGTTATCATTTTGGTTATTAGTTATGTTATTAAAGGTGGTTACAGTATAAAATAAAGTATAATAATATATATAGTTTAATAAAATATATAACATAAATTTATAAATATGTAAAGTATAAAAGTTATACAATTTGTTTACTAAAAAAAAAAGAAAGTTTAGTATTAATATCCTTTCACATCAGTCAGTAACAAACTCCAAACCCTAATATAGTCAATGTAAATAAAGACAGGATTATTTAGCAATGTGATTTACATAAATTTTAATTAAAGTTTCAAATTTCTTCATATTTCATGAGTTTATCGCTATTTTTTATTTTGAAAAAACAAACCTTCTTTGTTTTTATTGACAAAAAAGACATCTAAGAAAAATAAGTTTTATTTAAAGATGTACATCATCTAATTTCACTTTTTAAAGTTGTAAACAATTACTTTAAACAAAAGTCTTGAAAAAAGTTTGAACATATATATAAATTTAAAATTTTTTACTATAGTGTATTGATTTTTAAGGTAAAAATGGAGGATTTTAAATTTTGTGTGCATATTATGTAGTTTTTTAATTTTTTTTTTATATTGTTTTTTTTATTGCTTAGTTTTTGCAAACAAATTTTAAATAATAAAAAAAATTATTTTTTTGCTATGTAGTAGTAGTAGTAGTAGTAGTAGTAGTAGTAGTAGTAGTAGTAGTAGTAGTAGTAGTAGTTTTTAGTTTATGATTATAAATTTCATCTATACTTTATATTGTTTTTTAGCACAACTGCTGATTGAAGCTGAATGGAACAAAATCAGAAAGATTGCCCTAAACTTAGTTTTGTTAAAGGTACTTTTTATTTAAGAAAGAAAGTATTTTAAATTATTAAACAGAAAAACCCTTTTCCACAACCTAAATGTTTCTATAAAACTTTCACAATTATTTGTAGCCTTCAAAGTAACCTACTATCCTTTGAAGTTTAACTTATGCAAAATTTACCAGATTTGCTTATTCTTTTTGAAACTAAGTTAAATCTGGAAGTTCCTTCTTTAGATATCAGTATTGATTGGTACTATCCTTTGATTTGCAAAGACACCAACAGTCACATGCTTGGGTTGGGTGTTTATTAAAGCATCAAATATTTTATTCGTTTAGAAGTCAGGTTTGAATCTTTTATCATTCTTTTATTCTATCACTTTTCTTATTATTCTTTAATGTTCACCTTCTTTTCAGGACTGCACTCTTTTAGATGCAATTTCTGATCAAAATGACCATGACTCTTTTCTTTATCCCATGCCATAATATTCTTATTGATAATTTTGTTACTCATCATACTAAATTACTTGGCACTAATAACTTGGCTCCACTGACCTTGCTGGCATTAAAATATATAAGTTCGGCATTTTCCTAATCTCTTACTCAGATAGTAAACTTTGCGACTCTATTTAGTTTCTATTTAGTTTCTCTTTGTCATCTTTTAGGTGATTCCAACCATAAAATAATCTCTATTAACTTTTATCTCGTACTTCTTCTTCTAACTCTATCATTACACTGCTTACTTTTACTCTAAAGCTGACTGTTGTTGACTGTTGTTGACTGTTGTTGACTATTTTTGACAGTTGTTGACTGTTGCTAACTGTTGTTGATTGATGTTGATGCGGAAAAATCATGTCTTATCAAGCGCAAGCAAAAGCAAACTGCAGCAGCAAAAGCAAAAATCAGCCAATACTGTTGTTGTCGGTGACTTTAATGTTCATCCCACTGAATGGTTTGGCTCTTGTGTCAGTGACTCTGTAGGTGTTAAAGCCAACAACTTTTGTCTTTCTCAATCCCAAACTCAAATAATCAACTTTCTAACTCTTTTTTAAGACAACCCGAATCATTTACCTTCTTTACTCAACTTATGTCTTGTTTCTGATCCTAGTTAGTGCACAGTATCTCCACATTTACCCTTAGGTGCCTCTGATCACAATCTAAAACTATTATCTAACATTCTTCTTTATCATCGGAATCCCCCTATCATCGTACATCTTACAATTACCTTAAACTGACTAGAACTCTTTCCGTGATTTTCTTCGTGATGGCTCTTGCGTAGAAATTTTTCGTCTGTTGACAAATGTACATGTTACATATCTTCGTCGATTCAGGCTGGCATGGAATCTTTTATTCTCTCTCGATGATTCCAGGTAAGCCTCACTTTTCTCCATGGTTTTCTTCACATGTGCTGCTGCGTTTGTCAATCAAAACCATTACTTCCATATCCATCAGCAAAATAATTCTCCAGGAAACAAACGTCTGTTTATTACAGCTAGAAATTTTAAAAAGGTTTTGTCTAATGCCAAAACCCGCTATCCTTAGGTCATGAAATCTCGTATTTCATCACAAAAATTAGGCTCTCGTGACTTCTGGAGAATATTTAATAGTATCAATAATAAGGGCAAGTCTGTAATTCCACTTCTTTTGTATGGTTCAGATATTTTCACCTAACCTAAAAACAAAGCGGAATTATTTGCTAAGAACTTTTCGTCAATATCATCTCTTGATTCCACTAGTTGAATTTAACCTGATATAGCTGTCGAACAGGGTAATCTATTGCTTGACATTCGTATCAATCCAGCTTCTGTATCTAAAGTGATTTTCTGCTTAGACTCTTCTACAACTTGTGGCCCGGACAACATACTTGTTATAATCTTGCAGAAGTATTTTCCGGAGCTGTTTTCTATCTTTTCAAAACCTTTCAACAAGTGCTTATTACAATATAAAACAAGAGCCTTGTTTTCCAGCCTGCTGGAAAACAGAATCTGTTATACCTATTTTTAAAAATTCTTGAGAGGGACCTGATTAAAAAAGGTTGGAAGGTGGATGCCATCGATCTTGACATTTCTAAGGCGTTTGATAAAGTTTGGTATGCTGGTCTTCTCCATAAACTTTCTTTTTACGGTATATCTGAAAATATCTTTAAGATTATTGAACCCTTCCTTTCCAATCGTACTATAAAAGTTATCCTTGATGGACAGCATTATTCTTTTTGTTCTGTAACCTCAGGGGTTCCTCAAGGTTCAACCCTTGGCTTTTTACTCTTTTTATTTTACATTAAAGACCTTCCAGATATTCTCACATTTAAAGTGGCATTGTTCGCTGATGAACTACCATTTATTCTTGTCGTGATAAGAAGCCAACTATCTCTGATTGCTTGGAAGGGGCATCTGAGCTTGAAAAGGATCTCACTTCAGCTACAGCATGGGGCTCACGGTGGCTGGTGAACTTTTATTCAGATAAACCTCAATTTTTTTCAGGCAAATGAAGGTCTAAATTATCGCAATAATTTAGACCTTCCTATAATTATGAACGGTTAGGCACTCAATAAGTCATCTACCCTTCATCTTCTAGGATTAATTATTGCTTCTGATCTTTCTTGGAAACCATATTTCAAATTCATTGGAAAAGTAGCATCTGCTAAAGTTACATCTCTTTATCGAGCTCGACACTTTCTTACTCTGGATTCTATTCTCTCTCTATAAATCTCAAATCTGGCCTTGTATGGAATATTGTTGCCATATCTTGGGAGGATCTTCTAATGATGCTCTTTCTCTTTTAGACAAGGTGTAAAAACGCATTGTTAACAAAGTTGAACCTGCTCTTTCAGCCAACCATGAACCATTATCACATCGTTGTAATATTGCTTCTTTTTTCTTCTTCTACAAATACTGATTTCTTCTTTTACAAATAAAAATGGGCACTGATCTTAAGAGCTAGTGTCTCTTGTACCATCTTTTAAAATTTATTCTCGTGTTACTCGTCATTCAATTAAGTCTCATTCTTTTTTTGTGACTGTTCTTTAGTGCTCAAAAAACTTTTATTCCTCTAGTTTTTTTCTCAAACATCAGTTCTTTAAAACTCACTTTCTTCGTCTTGCTTCATGATTCATATAATTTTCAATCTTTCAACTCGTCTGTCAATCATTATCTTGCTTTATAATCTTCACCTTTTCTCTTTCAGTAACTTCCAACACTAATTATTGGTTGCTTGCAGCCTTGTTGGAAGTAAAGATGTTAAAAATAATAAATTAATAAATGTTGACTGTTGTTGACTGATGTGGACTGTTGCTGACTGATATTCTTATCGTGATTTTCTTTGTGACGGTATTTAACCTTTTCTTTCTCCGCAGTAATGACAGAAAGAAAAGACATCTGGCCAAAGACCGTCACAAAAAAAAGCAGAAATAAAACTTTAATTTTTTTTACCTCTTGTCGGTTTAATAGAGTAAAATAAGTCCAGCCTCATTCTGATCCATAGTTTTCAACTTCTTGTGTTGCTGCTATATCTAATCGCAATAATTTGTTTCATATTTTTTCAAAAAAAGTTCTATCATGATAACAAGTATCAAATTATTATTGCCAGATATCAATTTAAAAAGGTTCTGTTAGATACTATGCTCTATTATTCCGAATTATCTAAACCTCTTATTTTATTTCATAAGTTAGACTCTAAACGCATTCAGAAATTTTTCTAAAGCGCTACTATCATAGGTAGGTCAAATATTATATCTTTAATTCAAAGGACTGACTTTCTAACTACTCATAAAGATAAAACTAAACTATTAGCAAATAACTTATTTTCTAATTTGACACTTTATACTTATGGGCATAATCCTCAATTTATTTTATTTAAATAGGTTAACCCATTATTAGACATTTAGATCACTCTTGCTTTCGTTGGTAAAGTGAAATCTCAATTAAACTCTATTACGATTTGTTGTCCGGAAAGATTTCTGTTATCATTAGACGATCTTGAATCTGATCTAATTTCTGAAACAGGGGGTTTGAGAATTTCTGAAACAGCTTGGGGTTTGAGAATTTCTGAAACAGCTTGGGGTTTGAGAATTTCTGAAACAGCTTGGGGTTTAAGAATTTCTAGCATACACTAACTTTAACAAAACAGTTTTTTTAAAGTTAATGCAATCAAATATCGCAATTATTCTGACATTCCTATATTGATTAATGACATCCCCTTGCATTGAGTTTTCTTCTTTGCGTCCTTTTGGATTATCGTTCTTTACTAACCTCTTATTGACACTATATATACAATATGGTACGTCATACTTTTTTTTTCTGAAAACGACATTTGGGGAGTGATTTTATTATGGGTTGGGGTATCTTGAGCAAGATTCAACAAAAAAATAATTTTTTTTTTTTTCTAATGTAAAAATTAACTTGAAAAATGTAAAAAAAGCTATAAATCATCATCTCTACGTCAAAAAAATAGCAACACTTTACTATTCTACATTTATATATTATATAAAAGGTATTCTACATTTTTTTAATATTTAAATCCAAATGAAAATGCAATATATGAATTTACAAACACAGTTACTTAGTACTTGGTATTTTCTTAGTGCTAGTAGTGGGTTTAATTATGTGCCTAAAATAACAAAATGTTGCAATTTTTGTTAAATTTACCTTGTGGTTTTTTAGTATAATTGTTTTTGTTTTACAGTGAATACCAAATAAAATATTATATTGTGTTATGGAGAATTTAAAATTAAAGCAAACTAGAAATTCTTCTACGACTGATTTTAACGAAATATCTTGGAGTAGGAAAAGAATGTTTGGAAACTGAAGTTCCTACACTAAGAGATGTATTAAGGAAAGGTCTTCTTATTTAGAAAAAATTGCTTCTTTCTGACAATCTTGATAGGTGAGTTATTTGACGCAATAGTAAAAAATGAATTTTTCAATAGATACCCAATAGGCACAGAAAGTCCTATGACATCCATGTTTTCCATTAGACGTCTAAACATCCACTGGGAGTCTTTAAACGTCCAGTGCCTTCTGGATTAATATTAATTA